AGGTGGGTCAAGGGGGTGGGAGGAGGGCGGGCATCCAAAACCCGGAGTCCATGTGACTACCATCTCATGAGGGTGTCACTTTTAATCTTGTCTAAAAATGTGCCAATCACAAGGACAAGCACTCTCAGAGCTATGACTATGCATTTGAGGGAAAGAAAAAAACCCTTTGGTCTGACTGAGATGATCTCTGAGGAGGAGTACAGCAGCCAAACTTTGTCCATTGACAGCAGAATGACATGTTAACCACCCTGTGTTTAATCCCATCTCGAGAAAGTCCTTCTTTTCATCTCCAGGGCAGCTGTGGGGTCAGGAGACTTAGACTCTCTAGCTGGGTGACCTTCACAACTGTCATTCATTTAGCAGGTGTTTTTTGAGTGGCCACTGGGTCCACTGTGGTAGGTGACGTGGATATGCGGATAGAGACACATGATCCTTAGACACAAGGAGTTTACTGTCTAGTCTATGATGCAAGTATTTAACCTCTCAGAACCCTAGTCTCTTCATTTCTAAAATGGAAATAAAAGGCCTACTTATATCACAGGGTTGTTATGAGAATTAAATGAGATGAATATGTAAAAACCCACTGTAAACCAAATATAAGGCAGTATTATTATTATGAGGTATTATTGCTTCCCCTTCTCAACCCTAATCTTTCAGAGAAGTTTAAAGTTGATATCAGAGTTAGCAAACTTTTTTTCTGTAAAGAGTCAGATATATATATTATAGTCTTTCTGGGCCATATGGTCTCTGTTGCAACTACTCAGTTCAGCAGTTGTAGTATAAAAGCAGCTTTAGACAATATGTAACTGAGTAGGTATGGCTGTGTTCCAATAAAACTTTATTTACAAAAACAGGTGGGGGGCCATATTCGGCCTTGCATCATAGTTTGCCAACTTCTGCTGTATATATCATAGAGTTCAAGAATGAGGGCTGCAGAGCCAAACTGCCTGGCTCAGTTTCCCATCTGCAAAACATGCATAATATTATTACCTATTTCAGAGTTGCTGAGAAGATTAAATGTGTTCATAAAGCACTCATAACAGTGCCCGGTACCAAGAATTATTAGTTTTTATCATTATAATATTACTAGGTAAAATTACTGCTGGTTTAAAGACTTTTAGAACCCTTGTATTTCAATTTTATGTACTGTCAACCAAATGCTTAAATGCTTTCAAATTTTAATATTCCTTTCTGTCATTTTTACTATGTTTGTGATACATTTAATAGCTCCCTCTCTGTTGATAAAGGTTAATGTTGATACATTTTATGACTTACACAGGTGCATCTACCATGAAGTCTTATTTTGCTAATAATAATGGGTGTTTATTACATGACAGTGACTGTGCTAAGCACTTTACATGTGTGATCTCCTTTAATCTTCAATGGCAACCCAGTGGGGGGGGGGGGTTCCTCATTTGACAAAAGAGGCTACTGCAGCTTAGAGAAGTCAGGTAACTCTCCTAAGACATACCAGCAGTAGTAAGTGGTGGAGCCAGAACTTGGGCCCAGATATGTCTAACAGAAAACATGTATTTTGATAGCTTCAAAACTTCAGTTTTTCAAGGCCAATCAAATTTGCATCTAGGGCCAAACTTTACTCTAAAAATAGTAGCAATACCATGTATGGTTATGTTCTGGGAAACAGAGTCTGGAAATTTTATATCTATATTACCTTGTGACAGGTAATCAGCTTTTGACATTAAGGGAGAAATGATACCCAGAACATGTTAACATGTTTAGGATGAGGCAATAGCCTTGGATAAACCATTTAGCTCTATTTTTCATATCAGCATAATGCTAAAGGCCCAGAACCAACCAGTAGGTAGTACTGTGTGAAATTCGTGGTCAAGAGGACAGAAATTATTAATTTTGTTTGTGTGTCAAGGAAGCTGTGTGCGTAGGAGAGTAGACTTGCATCTAGCAATTGATTTACCAAGATGGCTTAGCCAACTGGATTCTTTGCCCCAGACACAAAAGAAAAAGAGAGCAGCGTTAGCTGGTTTGGTTCAGTCAGAGTGTCAGCCCTCGGACTGAAGGGTCTCAGGTTCG